TGTTTCATTTTAGAAAAAATTTCTCTTGATAACAGTATTGCTATTAATATCAGTGAAAACAGCATTTCCTTGTGCACTATCGAAGAAAAGTACTGATGCTATATTCTACATGGAGTTGGATAGAAAATTGGATTCATCATTTATTCAAGGTATATGTTAGCGTGATTTCATTATTGAAAATGTTTTGTTGACTATTTCTTATCAGGAATTCTCGAACAAAGAGAGTCTCAACCATCATCACGGCACTTCAATCCATTGGGATTTTATTTATTACTAACAACTAAAATGGATGTTGTTCATACTGAGATAGGTATGATACTGATATCAACAATAATAACTTCATTTGACTGTTTTTATATTTCTTCTTTCTGAATCTTTCTCTAAATAGGTAAACTTTTAGAAACTCAATATGGATGTGAATTACAAGACAAAAGCTTAAGGAATGTTCTTACCAACAGAAAGAGAACAATGTCACCAGGCTTGTGTTACCCTTCTGCAAAATTTTTAGAATAATTACAACGTAATCTACTTTTCTTTAATCACTTCTTCAACATAAGATCCAGTCCATCCACCAGCGTCGTCGTCATCCAGTTCTCAAAAACGTCTTCGAGTAGATGTTCAACAATCAGCAGCTGCCTCAAATAATCCGTCGTTAAATTATCGATCAACAGAAAATGCTAATCAGGATCGTAGTCAACAAGTCATATCAATGAAAACAGCCATATCTACTATTGATAACCCAAAACATTCGCAATCAAGTAAGAGAATAGATGATACGTAACATTTTGCCTGCTTAATCTGTATTTTTAAGGTTCAACGATCGCAGAATATTCTGTTGATTATAAAAAACATCGGGATAATTATATCAAAAAGATTAAGAAACTAGCAGAACGAGATAATAGAAAAGAATATTTATCGTATTTATTATATATATTTATATATATAATATTTATCGTTATTTAACATCTACAAAGTACACCGCATCGATATAGCCGAAGAAGATTTTATCAAGTTCGATAAAAAGAGAGAAAATGATCAACCACCATATTTTTGTATCATAGAACTAAAAGAACTCATACAAATCATCATTATTCTCCATAATCCTGTTAACAAGGACTGCGTTGTCTGTGAACGCGGATCCAACAGCAAATTGGCTTTCACATTTGAAGTACTAAGTGATGTATTTTTGAACTCAGAAAATGATGTGACAAAGAGAATAGCAGTTACTGATTCAGTCAATGTTGCAGTGAAATATACCAAGAAAAGTAAGAATTCTAATTCAGAGATTGCAGAATAGTACTTAAGATGAGTCAAAAAAGATTTTTCTTTTTTCGTATCAGTTTTTGGATTCTCATCCAAAGTTACTTAGAAATTGAAACTTTTAGCCTTTGGAATCATTCCTCTAAAGTGCACACTAACTTTTTCAAAAAAAAGCCCGGAAAAAAAATAAATGAAAAGTTAATCTTTCCAATAGTTTGATTATTTAATATTGAATTTAATACAGGTCAACCGAGCGAAAAATTCTGGACAAAAATCAGGTTGTTTTAAAATTTAAAAAATAAGAATCTATACATTTAGAATTTCATTTTTTAGAAGTTCTAATTTCTATCTGAATGAATTTTTCAGGTACATATCTTCTTCGAAAAATTTAATTACACATTCAAATAGAGTAAATAATTCTCTAGAAAATCAGCTAGGAAACATTGAAAAATGTAAGTTAGGCGCTAAGAGAGACGAAACAATGAGTGGACTGTCTACGTCAACAGATCTTGAGAAACTTGATAACAACATAGGTTACGTGGGAAACATTTTTATTTTGTTTTCTGCGGATCCATTTGCTGTAACCAGGATTTCGTGGAAAGAATATTATGATTTGAACATGGTGTCTTTATTCTCTGATGACAGCATTAAATATTTGATTATTTGTGAATTAGAGCCGAAAGAACAGTTCCGTTATTACATTGTACATTCTTCACTGTCAATCAAACGCACACGTAATCCTAGTCTAGATGGACGAGGTATTAGTCCTATTGGTGGTGATGAAAAAGCGACATGTATTGTTGAAGTAGAAAAATGTTTAATTGGATTAGCTAGTAGAGAATTTTTTGTAGTAGTTACATCACATCCCAGTGCTGCACTATATGAGCAGGCACCGCACAAAAAACATGAGGTACTAGAACAAATTTATTTGACAATCATCAACTATTGGTCTCTAATAGTGAACAAAAAACGATATGATGCTAAACTACCAGAGTTGAAAATAAAAAACCAGTAACAAAAATCATTCGTTGATCGACAAACACATTAATATAAAACAATTTTTATATTAAATCGAGCTATTTTTTTGAACTGGATCACATCACAAAACAAAATATCAAGTTTAATGGTTTCTTTTTATCTTCTTCTGCTTTTGTCTCTCTCTCTCGCGTTCCATTTCGTATTTATTTCACACATTAAACGATCAATCTAAAACGAAGATTTAAAATTCATTTTCTGATTGTTTCATTTTCTACAGCTGTTGAAACAAAAAAAGTAGATTTTGTACTCAGAAACAATCCATAAAATAAGCAAGGGTGAAATGAAATAATAGAAAAACATCAGAGAAAATAATAAAAACTTAGGATAAATCCTTCCTAATGATTTTTGTGTTTTCTAAACATATTTTAAAAGTACTAACATTATGACTTGAGATTCATTTAAACAACTCTTTAACATATATATTGTCAATGCTAACTGACATTATACTGCGGCCAGTCAGTTACGGACGAAAAATAGTGATAATAATCGATATCTGTCTGTGTGGTGTTAGAATGAGAAATTGAGAAAACGAGTATAACATTGAAACATAGAGCACTTATGAGTTCTATGAAAGTAGTACTAACTATCTATTGGATACTGATATACTCTTGTAAAATTCAAGTATTAAAATATTTTCTACGAGTTATTAATTAATTACTTAAAAAAATGTTGTTCGAGTATAGGGTTGTTATTAAAAGCTTTCTATCCATTCTCCATTAATCATAAAACTTGGCTCCTGGCTGAATCGACAAAGAAATGTGTGAAGAATATTTACTATGAGAAACTATGCAAAAATCTTTGGTCTTTTCTTCCTGTTATTGACTAAATTAACATTAATTTAGCCTACTCTACTGGCTTAAAGTCTCATTTGCAAAATAACGACTCAACGAAAAACCTCGATCAATAGCTCATCTGATAGAGAATTTCACGGGCCACAAGATAAACTACTTTAAAAGTTTTAAAATTTATTTTTGACTGTTCAGTAAATCTGGTAAGTCATAAACTTAGCCGCACTCTTTTAAGTAATTTTTTTCTCAGTCAAGTAATGTCATTAGCTGAAATAACTTGAAAACATAATTCGCAGTATCCTCCACAGACGGGAAGAGTGTGAAGAAAACATGCAAAGCTAGGAGATACCGGTGGGTTTTGACTCATTTTTTTAACTCATCTTAGGGCTAATGTTGCTCGAACGATGCATTTTGTAGCAAAACTCTGTGCGCAAAAGTTGTTCAGAACATGTTATTTGTTACTACATCATGAACGGTAAAAAATTATCACATGCATTGACAAATAATTGAAAAACAGATTTATTCAATCCTTCCAACTTCTGTGTTTTCGTCCCTTGAGAACATATCTTTTTATTTGCTCATTTCGTTCGATTTTTGAACTAAGAGATAGACTTGTTTCTGTGATAATTAATGGACAAAAGGGCATATTGTAGAGCAGTCTATTCCTTTTTTCCAGTAAAACAACATGTCGCAATCCGTTTATATTTTCGTAATATGTATCGCAAGAAAGAGAATGATGATGGCCGAGTGAACGATATATCGTTAAAGAAATTATACTAGGTGTTTCTT